GAAGCAATAGCTATTGCCTACCTAGACATAGGCCGAAGCACCACAGACACTCTTCAAACCTAAAACGAACAAATTGTAAATAAATACTAGATAGAACGGCTTCGGCCAAAGTCTTACATAGCCCTGGGCTCACTAGACTATAATGGAATAATAATAATAATAATAACATTGCGCTAGTAACGCTTTAGTGCTTACACGCCTAGGAATTTCACCGCCACAGACAGGCTAGCATTTCGCCGGATGCAGCAGTAGACTAAACGACTTATTCTTACCAAGGGTTAGTGAGGAGATTCTAGAGAAGTTTATGCCATGGAAGCATAAATAGGTTGTTAGCCCTCTATCGAACGCCAAGCATAGGCAAGATTACCATTAATCAACAGACTAATTACCACCAACAGTAAATCTAAAACGTGTATGTACACCCTTGACCCATGGTCCCATATAATTGTTCCTCCGATCAGGGATTTGTACTCACAGCGGCTTTTTCCTTCAGCCTAGTTTTTTCCCCTGAATATCCCCAACACCGTGCCCGCTGTCAACACCAACGGCGTGCAGATCTACAACTCCTAGTACCAGACTTGGTATACAGGCAAAAATAACAATGGACTTTGCAAATTTACGATCTGGACTGACTCGGCCCATCAGTCATCCAGTGGATGTACGTGATGAATTGGTAAATGCATTGCAGCACTGACATTGGTGATATTTAGCAAACAGGGTTGATAAAACGACTTCTTCAGCATGAACACTCAAGTGTCATCCCCTTTACAATTGCGCAGTTCCTAGATGGTAAGTATCTGGAGAAGTCCAGGATCTAGAACATGGTTGCGTGCTCCTCCCGATGACGTGCATATAAGCTTCGTATTTGCGATCAGCATATCCCTCCCTGCCCCTTTGTTCCCCTTTCGCTTACTTTTCCTCCCACAGCACTCAGACCCATCATCCCGGATACTAGACTACGGGCCGTGCTCGGCAGGACTCTAGCTCACTAAACCAAACATAGTTAGATGCACATGTCATGTTTAGTACTGTTCTCCGTCGATCTCTCTCACTCTCAGGGACGCAATGTCAGTATGGGGCCGGATGCTTGTCGATCGCGAATATCTGATCATGTAGGTAGGTCACCCGACCATGCGCGATTAGCGGTGCGCCGTGGAAAAGCCGCGATACCGGATGCGATACTATACGCCAAGCTAAACAGGCGAACTCTCACCGTGATAACCCAATCTGAATCTATCTTCGACAAGCGTGCGCTGACAAGTGGCTGGTGAGTCGCAATAGCAGGGGTTTTGCGCTATATAAATTCTTATTAAGTAAAACAGATACCCGCCTAGGTAAGGTTTATGGCGCAACTACTTTTTTCCATGGTCGGATAACCAGACTCATGATCTCTGATCAGAGCAAAAGGGAGGCTCTATTCACGTATAGTGACGCCGAGGAAATCTTCGTGTAAATCTGGTTCTCCCAACACGTGAGTCTGGGCCGGATGTGCAGCAACAACAGGTAAATCATGCAACTCATGTCTATTAACAAATGATACACACTGCTTCTTCTCTATATTGTTCCAATGAGAACAAAAAACAAGATTTTCTTGGCACAAGCTTAAATAGTGGAGGGATATGGCAATGTTCGAATCCACATTGCTGAGACGCAATGTTGGTTCACAACGTGGTTCAGGTCAGCATCCTACAAGGTAGTTGATCCGAGCATTGGTGTTAACGGCTAAGTCGCCATCATTGAACGAACAATGACGGACGAATCGCTAGGGTTTTTGTAAGGGGTAAGGTCACGTGTCAGTCAAGGGGGCTTGTGTGTCGTACGCACAGCCCAGGGTGTAAGCACCTTAATGTGCAACGACCATAGTAACGCTTCCAGCGGGGTATTTATCCCCGCTCGCACTCTGTATACGACCGAAGACAGCTTCGTTTTGCGTTAATTTATTTCTCTTCACTCACTAGGCAAGCAACAATTCAGTTCCTGAATAACGGGTGATTTTCGGGATTTACTGCCCCTACTCGAGATCTCCTTGGCTTCACGTTCTAATTCAAGTACAACGATTCAAAACAGCAAATCTGATCCTCCGGGCGAAAGAAAAATGCAAGATTGACAGTCTATCACCCGCGATGTGATTGTTCACTGGTTGTTCCATGAGAGCACTTACTTCGATATCAGGTCACACTATGCATATAATAGAGATACCAGATAGCCGAACAGGCGGCCTTCGTACTCCGGAAATCGTGACTCATAACACGCTATTATAGGGTAGTTGTTTTAAGGCCGTTGCTATCTTGTGTCTCGTATTCCTACTTCTCTTTCAGCAGTGCCATTCTACGAAAGAGGAAAGTACAACCTATAATGATGTGTACACCTATGCTACCTGAATTGATCATGCTATGATAACCAATGCTGCTTCGAACCATTTCATCTAGTTGTTCGGGGGTTCATCCTTGAAAATCGCTAGCGTGATGCTGCTGGAGGCTGAGCACCTCGCGGTAAGGCGTTGCAGACCTGGAAGTCATGTATCCAATTTTTCAGACTAGCAACACTAGATCATCACCTTCTCTTCGAACCACTTCTATCGGTTGAGAAACTTAGGCGTCTTCTACCCCTATCGAAACTCTCACACTCCCTGCTTTCTATTTCAAGGATTGCTACCAGAACCGTGGCATTATCTGTACTCCTTAATTTCCTCTTACTTAGTATCAGCCTATTAGTAATACCTTCCACCTTCTTGCTCCACTAGATACCATTGAATTTGTAAAATATGCTTCTAGACAAACTTGAAGATGTCGTCCAATACAATGAAACGTCATCTGCGCTTCCACTGGTGGATTTTTGTCGTCTTGGACGTCCGCAATTGCCCCATGCTGCCTAGTGTGCCTATTGGCCATCGTATACAGCACATACAACAAGCTTTTTTCTTCATCCGAAGGAACTGTGGAGCGATATTACATGACGATCTTGAAATCCCTCGGCGCCGGAAATCTGTGGAGACGTCAGCGGAGCGACTCGGGGCCTGTTCGGTTATGTTTTGCGTTTTACGTTTTTATTACTAGATTTAGGTTGCGCTTTACCGAGCACGGTATCGTCTTTAAAAACCTAGCCCAAATCTAGTAACAAAAACGCAAAACGCAAAACATAACCGCGCAGCCGAACCGGCCCTCGGTCAAACTATGTAAGAACTACGCGCAAGGAGCACCCTACGCACCCTACTAATGCCAACGTCGGCTATGTTGACACTGATGGGTGATTGACACACAAGACGTGAAATTGCTTTTCACGGGATGATAGGGTGATGCATGGAGAGAGAGAGGGCTCACATTTGCTTTTACAGACATCTACGTCGTTATTTGTTAAGGCATGCTCAGCGGCTGCGCCTGTGGCAATTGGCGCGGCGTGCGATGCGTGACATGATCGCCATGACCCGATTGAGGAACAACCGATCTATTGCTTCGTTTGATTGTTTCTTGATTGATTTGCTCGATTCAATCAATTCAACAACGCAGCAGCCAGGACCAATGAATCAATTTATAGAGGCCTGCATCGATTGATATGACTGATATATTGCATAGCGTGAGTAGGTAAGCCAGAAATGGCAGCATTTTGTTGTTGAATTGGTGAGCTTATAGTACTCCCTTCGGGAATCCAGAATAGAAGCAAACCAAATCAATTCAGTCTCAATCAAAATATATTACCATATAGCAAAATGATTCAAATTAATTTCAGACATGCTCGTGAATTAACCAATCATGAACGTCCCCTTACAGTGATTGGATTGATCCTAGAAAAATGTGGCTACGATTTCATCCATAAATTTACGCCCAGCGGCTCTTAGTTAATGCTAAACTCATCAAACATAGACCCAAATAGCTATAGAGAGCAACAAATTACTGTACTATGACTTTGAGAAACTAATTATGTAACATGCATAAAGGCACTAAACACGTATAGAACATATATTAAATTTTATAACACAATCGCTTCTACTTGCTATAGAGGATATAGTGGAAGAGAGAAAATACATGTGAAATATATGAAAATTTTATTTTAGAATGGAGAGGTTTGACACAACTAACACGGAAGACTATAGGCTCTAAGATCCTGAGCGAGGACTTCATGTAGTGCTATAGCTTGCTTTTATCCCTTGCTAGTGGGTGCTCACATATTCTTGGTACTAAGAGGGCCTTATGGGAGATTTAAAGATGAGATGATGAGGTCTGGTAGTAGCATAACAGTCGCACAAGATATGACGCCGGAGGGGCTAGATTGCAATCTCAAAGGAGAGAGGTGAATGTAAATTAGTGACTTACAATAGTGTGTCACTGCCCCATAGGGGAACTACAAAGATGTGATGTAATTCTTCTGCCTACTTAAATATGTCGCCTCACGAGACTTGTTTCCATAAAGTCAAAAAAACATATGGAAAGATGTTGAAGGACTTGCGACATCTCGCACATGGCACTTAGGAGTGGGCAACTTATAGCGATGTTTCATGAAACTAGATTTCCGGGTGGAAGACACTGACTGCTTATATTTTGTTTGATTACATGATTGACAACAGGAACTACGGCATAAATGTGAGCAGCGTCAACGTTGGCGTTGGCGGTGTTCATATAAAGTCCATCTGATGTTCAAGGAAAGGTTAGAGCAGTTACTCATAGCCTGAGCCTACTTTGCATCTTCGCTAGCCTCGCCGCCCTAACTATGTTCTTTCTGCCCTACAGCGTCCGTTCTCTTTCCTTAACTTGATACACATTCCCCTAGCCAATTTCTCGCTCACCATTGTGTCTTATCTAGCACAAAGGCGCTGGTCACAGCGGACAACATTGTCTTTACTGACGAGACGGCCGAATCCCCTTCTTCGCTGGTGTAGGAAATGAGTTTGACATGTGGCTGGTTATCTATGATACCTGGGAGATGACAAAATTGAGTGGAAGTTGACTCTATTTTTAAAACCTGGCCGTATTATCGTCTTCTACGCTTCATTTCACCTCCCTTGTCATTCTTCCAGCTTCCAGCATAATGATGAGTTACAAGTTGCGGTGGTAGAAGTGCTTCTTGTTCTGGGGTGTACTTATTTGCACTCGCTGCGAAGGAACGGCCTGGCAATATCAAGACGTCTTTGAGTAACACTGGCTGTAAGATACTATGTACCTCAGTTGGGTTGATGGTCTTGAGCTTCTTCTCTAGGCTTCTGAATATAATAGTCGTTAACCGTCGGGGACCTGTCAAGTCTACAACGTCTCCCATCATTTTCAATGTAAGGTCCTTAACCCGGACATTTTATTGAGCGGTCTTTTGTTGCACTTCTTCAAGAATATCGTCAATAACTTGCATCATGCGTGGTGATCGTGGTCGAGACATTATGGTCCAGCTGGCAAATTGGCGATCAAAGGGCTCTGGCCATTCTGCATCGAATTCCCATACCACGACAAGTGCAGCCTCTTTGTACTCCGCTGGTGCCCATTCATCTATCGGTATTTGTTCGCAAGACACATCTAAATCGTACCAGATTCCGCCTTGATCCCAAAGTAACAAACAGCGCAGCATATCAGCTTTATAGATAGGGATAGAGAATGCGAGGTAGGCCTGGGCAATATCGAGTCGGAAAGCAAAGGCTTTACGAACGTATTCGTCACTGCCCTCATCTGTAATAAAGTTTGCTTGATAGTCGAGAATACTTTTTATACAGGTGTCAGTCCAGTTGCGCACGTCGTTAGAGATGCCTTTAGGGCCCAACTTATACCAGATAAGCTTGAGAATTCCATTCGTGGTGTGCTGCACGGCTGCGGGCGTTCGGAGGCGACTGGCAAACGAGCGAAAAAATGACATTCGCTTGAAAGGAGGTGGTAAACCAGTCCGATTACGCAAATTGCAATCAGTGTGTAATAATTGAGTATTCTGGCCAAATGTGCTGGTCGTGGTATCATTGTAAAATACTGTGAGAGATACTGCAATGGAAAGTATTCTCGCTGGTGTTCTAGCCAGATTGTTTCCTCGCTGATTATGACTTGTTAATTATCCACTCCCCCCATACGGCGCTAGAGGACTTTTAGATACGACCCGTTTACTACGCCGCATGCATGTGAAAGCATGTCGTGTCACGCACGTAAATACTCATCTTTATGGGTCGCAAGAGGCACTGGCATAACTGTAACAGATCTGATTTGAGGAGCATGCAATGATGGCGGCTCATTTCAGGGATCCTCTCGCCTCCGTGTGGGACTCACGATGGAACCATGGGGAGAGCCTGTAAACGATACGGACGACAGCTTCTACTACGTTTCAAATTGATCACAACCGTTTTGACATTAGACTGATGAGTATTGCCCTCCCTATTGAAAATGCGATATAAACAGGAAGGATTCTAGGGCTTGCAAGCGCTACATGCAAGCGCCGCTGTGCCGCCTCCTTGCATTTTCCCACCACCACAAGCAAATTGCACAAGTAAGGCGTGAATTACATGAGCATTTATCAACTTATTTGTACATTAGTTCACCCGTAGTGTTCTCTAGCTTTCGCTCATTTATGTTCATGGTTTGCATTTCGCATTTTCATCTAATCATCTTTTCTGCCTCATCGAATCAGTACTTGTGCGGTCTTGGAGCAAATGCTCTTTGGTATAGCTTGCACGGCAGCATAGGGTTTGGCAGCCGGCCTCATTGCTCATGTATCTAGTCTCATGGAGTTCATCAATCCCCCACCCTTCGGAGTCACTAGGGATCTGAGCAACAGCCCGACCTATGACGAAGGTACTACTGTGAACATTGCCTGCACTTCGGGTGAAAAGGGGGTAGGGGTCTCATTGTGTCTTTACCAACAAAATGAGACAGATGGAAAGTGGTTTGGAGACATGGAATATCTTACCCGTATGCAAGATACTTGTTCGTTCTTGATTACTCGAAAAAATAAGCTAACTTTCGGAACCAGAGAACGCTGTGGATATTATGAGATACTCCTGGCTCGTCTGAACAAGAAAAAATTCTCACACTGTCCAAGTTGTTTTACCTTAGTATCTTCCAAGAAGGCAAAGGCTCCTCGGATTCGAACAGCCATTACTTCTACATCGCGGAAAAGGGCATTGGGAAATCCTCCTCCCCCTCCTTCGTATCTTCGGCTTTTTCTTCTACGTCGATACCACAAGCTATATCAACTGTAGCACCGACTCTGATTCCGACAAGCTCGAGCATGCAAAATCTCAGAACCAGCACAGGAGTGGTAGGCCTTCCGACCAGCGATGCCACAGATTCACAAACCCTTCCCGATCAACAATCCTCATCAGATAGCTTTCCTTTGGCTGTTAAGATCGGTCTCGGTATAGGGATACCTATCGCTCTTGTCCTTAGGCTAGTCATAGGATGGCTACTTTTTCGCCATCGCAAAAGGAGAGACACTGCTCCTCCCTACGGATTGCACGAAATATCTGCTGGTCAAAACATGCAATACAAGCACTACAATAATGAGGGTTATTATGGTTCGGGCATTAATGAGGCGCCACTGAAGTCACCAGTGGAGATAGGTCAGCTATACCCGCAGGACTTCGATGGTCGCGTAGTCACATCACCAAACAAGTCTGCAGCTACACCTCATCATGCACCAGTACGGTTCGAGATGTGAGTTGCAGCCTCTCTGAACTGCTACTCAACAAGTGGTTCAGGCGCCTACATGGCTCGCCCATTTCTGCTAGAATGCTATGAAATGCTGAGCTTTACGCAATAATGCTGAACCCACGTTATCTATGCGAGCAAGATATCATATATTATGTCCCCTAAAATGTGTCAATACTTCTCATCAGTAGCAATCCTAATAGTTAATACATGCATGGATTGAAGCTAAATAACTAATTGCAAAGTATCAGTCCATATAAGTTCTTGCATGTCCGTGCTTTTCAAAAGAGAAAATAGAAAAAAGTGGCTTCGGCTCATAGCTATAGGATGGGTGTGGCTGAAGGGCAACAGTTGTCGATTAGCGCTGCCCGCCTTGGGGATGGCGCTGCTCTCACAGCTACGCAACAAACACATGTCGTCTATCCAGCATTAAGGTTAGATTCACTCTAGGACACACTTTTAAACAAGCGCATCGTCCGCCTTTTTCTGAGACGCAACTTGAGTGTTGAGATAAATCTCCGACTTACTTACGACGTAGATTCGCAGCCGTGGTATTCTCTTGAATTCATCTACTTCACAACTTCACTCATGAAGCCACCCATTAATTTCGACAAAATCCGTCCTCTTCACTCCTATATCTTTTGCGCATTGAAACAATACTTTACCTCGATTCCATAGGCAGCACTAGGCCAGAGCATTTACAACAGTGAACTACTCCCAGCATCTCCAAACGATGATTGCTCTTGTATTTCCTTTGCTTTGTCGGCGAACACAACACTTTGGTTTATGTTCAAAGGGGGCCGAACGAACAGTGGCCTCTGAGAACTTTCAGGTAGCAATTTCAAAGCGCTGTCAACATATTGACGACGAAATTTTACTCTCGGTCATTATGGAAACTCCGATGTACTTATTGCGCTATCTCCCATAGCATTCCCACAAGCAGTTGAAGTAGCCTGCCAAAACGCAACACTGAACTTGATAGGCTACGGCGGATCCCATTCAGAGATATAGAATCCGAGATACGATACAAAAAGCCCAAATACCACGCCGGACTCCAACAAGGCCTTCTCATCCCGTGGGGAAAATGCCTAAACGAGCTGCCGAATCTCAGCTTTCGGATAGAAATCCTTCCAAGAAGCAAAATACTGGGGATGTAGACGATCCTGCTTCGCCAAAACTCCAAAATAGAGCGGCGGGTGATTCTCGAGTAGCCGCTTCAATAGAAGAAGATATCATCGATGTTCAGGAGGACGGCTCAGCTCCACCGAATGACGTGCAGGATATTGCAGACGATGAAGACCTTGACGATACATCTGCAAAGAACAAGACTGACCCAGAATCCAAGACTTCTAACAGCAAGTCGAAAAAGACAAAGAAACATCCAGTTGGCGATGGCTTCGCAACTTTCACCCATAATACTGTAATTCCTCCAACCAACCCTTTTTGGGGCATCAAGCCCATGCCCGGCGACCCACGTCCCGACCCCATCCAGCCCTCAGCCCGAGAAAGCAACGGGCAAGTCAACCCACCCTTATGGGAAGACCGGGGCTACCGCTACAAACGTGGCTCTCGCTACGTCAAGTACTTTGGCCCCATCCCTCCATCCAACATCGACTCCCTAAACGAAGCCCTCGACCAAGAAGCCCTCCACACTGTGAAACTGATCGACATGCGTCCCAAGAGCAAAAAAGACCCAACCCCAAAACGCAAACCAACGATATACTGCTACGGGAAAACACCAAAAGACTGGAACAAGATGCAAACCATCAAGGCCCTAAACGACCGCCGCTACCAAGCCATCGACCGCACGACAATGGATAGGCCCTGGCAGCGCATGGAGCGCGAATACCTAGCCTCTCTCTTGCAAGAAACGCCCGACGCCTCAATCTGGGAGCTGACTGAGCGCCACAACGCGCGCTTCATGAACCAGGACTTTACCGAAGCCATGGGATTCAGTTTTGCGAGCCTGTCTGCCGGGCGGACGGTCGAGAGCGTACGTTACGAATACACGACATACAAGCCACTCTACGATGCAGGTAAGGTACCCGAAGCAATCCGGTGGCGCGGCGATCCATCCGTACAAGGCAAAGCAGTGAAGGAGAGTGGGCGAGCTGAACGGGCGTTCGGGAAGCCAAGCCAGGCACTGGAAATGGCACACGATGCTGCCATCGGGGGTAGTAGCGAAGACGAAGACGAAGACGAAGCAAATGCAACTTCACCACACGAAAGGGGTACGTCATCAAACCCGTTTCCCGACCAGGAAGACGTCGACGAAGACGAAGAAATGCTACTCGAGCTAGCAGGTGCGCATACGGCACCGACATATCTCTCGAGCAGATAAGCCAAAAGGGTGAAAAAAATATTCACCCTCAACCCCAACCCCCATTTCTTGCGTTTCCTCTCCATTACGAAATAACGATTGCGTAGCACATGTACTTAAAAAAACAAACAAATATATAATAACAGAAATCGAGGCTAAAAAAAAACCACCGCTGCCACACAGTGCCAAACCCAGCAACTCCCTCACACGAACGGAACCGCAAATACGCAGCAAAGACAGCGCTACCTTACCCCCGCCACAACCTACTAACCCATTATTCAGACAAGGTAGTTTTCATCTCGTTCTCTTTCCCCCGCCCCCCACGCGCGCGCAAGACGTTCATGTCCAGAATGACGCAGTACCACGCACTCAGCGTCCCGTACCGCAACGCCGCACCTCGCTGGACGCGATGCGCAGGATGGAAATAGACGAGAACTACAGTGATGAAGATGATGTGCGAGATTGTGCTTTTGTTGAATGAGGTATGTAGACAGTTTTGCGATGATGGCGTTGCAGTGTAGGTAGGATAAAGATGAGAAATAAAATGGAAAGGCAAGGCATTTGGTTCTTTTTTTTGGTATATAGTAATATATGTGACGCCTAGGAAAGTGATGGCTAAGTTTCTTTTTTATATGTATGAATTGGATGTGATGGTTTGTAGTTTTCTTTGAGTGTCTCGGGTCACTGGGGGGG